AATCGATACTTAACACGAAGAGACAATGCGTAGTGGCACTTAATTTGCACCTAGAGTAATCCACCAAGACGTTAAACGAGTCCGCACTCGCCCACCCGAACGGGCAGTAGCTGTTGTGATAATTGTAGTTTAATTTTCTCTGCTGCATTCTGTTTGTACTTAACGTTGTCTCTCTGATGACTTTTGCAGAGCAAAAAAAAACGAGCTTGTTCTCTGAAAATTTACATTTGTTTCGTACTCGAATAATTTTATTTGCGTAAAGACTGAAGTGTTGAATTTACCCGCGAAGATTACACAGACAACGTTTTAATATACTGTCCGATCCTGTTAAGGAGAAGACGGACAAGGGCAACCTGTCTTTATATTTTTGACACCTGACCAAAAAAATAAATTAAACCAAACTAAAGAACAACGGTGTTAAGTGAATAAATACTAGCTAAAATATAAAATTTTTAAGATTTAACGCTTACGTGTGATATCAGCGCCTGTTCCCTACTTAAAAATAATTAGCTGATTATAATGATGTTATATTATTATTATTCATTGTGCCTCTTTGAGTAACTTCAAAACTAAAATTTCTAAAAGTTAACCTAAGAATTCCCAATGAATTTTGGTAATGACAATCGTATCGTCAGCTAATATTAATTAAATAATATTTCCAATCGTTGAACCATAAAATAACATAATGATTAGTTCCACTTTCCGTTTTGATTATTATTTTGTGCTTCCATTAGTGGTAAAAACGATTGTATGCATATATCATATGCCCAGTATTTCAATCACTCAGACATTGACAGTTATAGTGCTATAATAATAGAATACTAGTATTGGCATGTAGAATACCTCTTTTTAGGGAAAGCTTTTAACATCTTTTTTTTTTGTTAGCAGTTAGAACATACACTAAGAAAATGTAGCCAAAAAAAAACCACTTTTTTAAAATGCTGTTAAAGCTTGCAATTGTTTATATACTTTTTCTATGAATGATAAAAAACGTAGACGTGATCTGATAGGAAGATGCCAATATCACTTTTGCCGTCTGGACATTTAAATATAAAGTAATGATATTTTTACTTTAATGCACTGAAATAATGTTTTCATAAGTCACACATTGTCAGAAAAATAATAACAATGGTTTCAATTAGCAGAATAATTTGTCGTTTGGCCGCACTTGACAGACAACTAACAATATATTTATTATATAAATAAATGATCAAATAGAGTATTATTTAGAAATGGAATTTGCCATAGACTTATATATTCACTCTGTCATCATAGCTTTCTAAATTTCACGACTCGTTAACTTCGATCCGACTGCGATAAGTGTCGGTGTGTCAAAATGCCTGTCACTCAATCAGATATACAAACACAAAAGTTAACAAATAGGGGTTCGAAAAACGGACTGCTTAGACCAATACACCGTGAAGGTTTATTTTAAGAGCAAATAAAATAACGGAAAATCGTAAGCTCAAGCTGAAACGCATATCTTCTCCAATGGAAACTTTTCTAGTCCCGTCAAGACTCTTCTAAAGCTAATTTTTATCAATACAAATGTATACGTCTTAATACTTATATATATATATATATTCAGGATCATCTGTTTAACGTAAGACACTCATTTTGTCGTAAAACAATTGAAATGTTTAGTTTTTCTTTTTGAATACATTTTTGTGTATGGTATTTTATAATATTATAAAATTACTAAATATATACCTATTTTACTATTTTACAGAGTTCTACCAACTTTTGAAACTTTAATGGTAACGTATACATCTAATTTACTTTTTAAATAGAACAATAGGATTTACTTGCAAAACATTTGATAGGTAACATAAGTCATAAGTAGGCAAATACGAGTATTTTTCCGTAATCTATATAAGTAATTGAATAAGTTCGATGAAATCTTAACTAAAAGGTAACAGTGTAAGTGCAATAAATTTGGATATCACTGAGCTGAAATTTAAAAATAAATTGAAAAAAAAATGCCTTTAAAGCCTAAGTATTTATTATAGTATGGTTACTAAACCAAACTGATATTTACAAAATTAAAATTTAATCGAAAAAATATTCAATATGATTTAGATAGTTTATCTCGATTGTATATAATCTCATTAAAAGTTGTTGATTACATATATAGTAAATAGTGTTAAAAATTATAAAATATTAAAACGTGACGTAAGCTTATTATTATTATTTTTTTTTTTTTTGTGAAAATGCGAGTAAAATTAAAAAGAAACGAATTAGGCGGCTAAACTTCAAAAAATATTTGTTTTGATCTCTCTTTAAAACTAAAATAGATTATGTGATTTAAAAAAAAAAAAAAAATTCTGTTAGTTTTTATCAGTTTGGTAATAGTTTTCAACCATAAAATCCGACTCGTCTCGTATTTAATTATAAGTAAATAAAGTACGACATCTGCACTCGGACTTGGACTCCGGTTATATGGTTCAATGACTTCGAATAAAAAAAATCAGAAGTTTTAAAAACCGTTTTTTTTCTTCTTCTTACTTCGCGTGTCTTCGGGGAATCTTTAGTTTGAAAAATTCACATCAAGCAGTGCGGAAGCGTGGATGTCAAGGGGGACATCGGTCGCCGGGAAACGTTATCAGCGAGTTGACACAGTGTTCGAGGGCGACAGAAAACTATTAAGATAAAGCAATCGGTCCCTCTTTTAGCACAGTCCTCGTCACACCCTTCTCGTACACGGTTGGTGGTTATTTTTCGGGTCACATGTAAGTTCTTCAAAGGTGATAGAATGGTTAATTCAATTTTCCACTCGGGAAAATAACAAATTCCAATAGACGTACGTGGTTTAGGCGAGATAATTTTTATTGTAACGCAACACGTAAGTGGCATACATGATTTAAACATAGCCCCACCAAGAGTGTACTTGAAAAAGCGATACAACCATAAAGAAAAATAGACTCACTAAGGGTTAGCAGCTGATGAGAGATATGCGATAGTTATAAGTAAAGCTACTAGAGCGATCATAAAAAATTAATAAATCGTTTATTTATTAAGCTAAAAATGTACAATGTTCAAAACGACTTCGATTTTGAAAATGCAAAATGTACTCTATAGATTTTTTACTTTCACTTATGTACATGTGTGACTTTTCTTTCTTATAATTATTTATTTTTCGAGTGGTAACAAAACTGGGCTGAGCGTACTTCGCCTTCAAACTACGTCCAGCTGCTGCCGCACAAACAACTATAAAGGATTTGTTCTTGTTGTTGATCATTTTTTAGTTCAAGTTCACCCTCTCTCCGACATGAATGCGTATAATTTATACAATTTTTCCCTCTCCTCCGTTTTTATTACCGTATACCGTTGTATCTTATTAATGTTCCAGATGTATATATAAAATATGAATATGTTTAATACAGAGCCCTCGCCGTTTTTTGCGTAACACACCCCTGTGGCTGTGGTATCTTGTATTATTATTTTATTTTTTATTTACACCGCACTCCGTTTTGTATCCCTCCGCGACTTAAAAACAATAATAAACGTATAAATTATGGACGTGTGTGTAATCCGCAATCCTCTTATGTATTATGCGCGATCAGATTAACGGACACTTGTACCGTAGAGCGGTACACATAAGGCCATATAGTCGGCGGTAAAGTCGGTTAAATTATTCAAAGACCGCCCGGCGATAATGAACCAAAGTGCGCACACACACACTTACAAATTCGTTTGTTTGAGCAAATCCATTATGTTCGAAGCACGGGGACTCTATGTGCGACGTGTCCACAGGACGACCCTTTTCGTCGAAGGAACCCTAATTTTAATCCCTTGGCAAAGAGATAGGCGCCGCATTGAGTATTACTCGAAATTTCCCATCCTCCAGCCACACCGTGCATTTTAAATATTTCACAGACTACCGATTTCGACGAACTGCACCGTGAAAAAGTCTGCGAGGTCCACTACTGTCTGAACTTCATTGTGGACTTTCCCTCGACTCTCGGTTAGCTGACGGTTTCAATGCTAGGAAACCTTTCAAATCAACCATTTTGACCATTTCATACATCTTTGCACAAATTCAATAAATTTTCTACATTTCGTGCATTAATATTGATCCCACATAATCATTATATTATAATACATTTAACCAGTAATATCATGATATGTATACGGAGTACGGTCATGCGTGGGAGAGCTATAGTCATAATAACAATAGGTAGTCATACATTAAAAAAAAAAAAACATTGCATGTTTCTATTACGAGTAGCACGATGGTATAAAAAACGGTCATAACTTTAATGGTTTCTGTGTCTAGTAGTCTTTTGAGACGTTTGTTATGGTAACCGTTTGCAATATTGTATGGTTCGCAAAATAATCCGCGGTCGTTGTTTTATACTATATAATATATTACATTATACAGTACACATCAGCTATCCTAGTGTTGGAATTATAGCTATTACATTTATATATCGTGTATGTACGCGAGTGGGTTATAAAACAACTGCAGCAATTGAGCAATATGACCGCCAGAAAGGTATATATATATATTGGCTTTTAAGTTGTAGTTCTGCGATATCCACTTACGCGGCACTTTATACATTTAATGGGCCGGGGGGTCACGAAATGACATTATTATTCTTATAGGGAGACTACCCACAGACGGTGTAAAAACACAACTTTGGTCGTTGAGAACGCAACACTATACGGGCAAATGTCTTTTGCGCCGTCTCTCGTTTCGACCGACCCCACGGAATAGCATTATTTCCAATACTTTGTACACTGGCCGTGGGTTTTTATTGTTTTCATTTTAGGTTATTAACCTTGAAGGAAGAAAAACGGGGATCCCACAAGGCACAGGAGGACTGCAGCCGTCGTCGTAGCTTGGGGACCAGATGGACCCGGTAGCCGCTGAATATAGTTCACCCTATATTACAGCTATACGTATAGTGTGGCATGCTGTGAGCGTTGTGCGTGGAGGTGAGCACTGAGCAAGTATAAAGGTTATAATATAGCCGGAGAGAGGTAAAGCAATAACTTACTTATATGGAAGCCGAGCGTCAGTTGGCCGATAAAACAAACGGCGGATACGGCCAACGCGATGGAAAAATCATGAGCCCCACGCCACTTCATGGTAATTGTGGTCGGCGCTTCGGGTCTAGTCCTTATCCGCGGGTCGGCTGCAAAACGAACAAAATAAAACCAATATCATAAACTGTATAAAACATTATTAAACAATTTCCTATTCTCTTCGATATACCCTTCGAATAGTAAAAGAGAGCACGGTATTGTATTTTATATCTTGTTTTGATTTCTGTTGGTATTGTGTTATTTAATACATACGGGGCGAGACTCACTATGACTATACACCGGCTAATATCTCTGGAGATTCATTTTTAAATTCCTTGCACAAATATTATAGCTACCTTGATGGTCGCCCAATAAGTTACACAAACAAACTACTGAATATTTATTCTATACTAATTAAAACACAATGATTGGTGATTAATGGCTATATAAAGTTAGAATAATTTTGACGTTTAAGCAGGGGGCTTAATATAGATAGCTAGCGCTTTTTTTTATAACAGACTAAACTAAAATTTGTTTAGACTTATTACTTTACAAATCAAGAAATTAAATAATATACAACATATTATATGGATTTAATTTCTTAATTAAAAAAATACAATACATTTTAAAAGATAGTTTAGTCTATAACAAAAAAAAAACGCTTAAATATTTCTTGTAGCTATCTATAATAGCCCCCTGCTTAACTTTAAAAATTATTTCAACTTACCATGTATATAAAAGGATAGTATTAGTGTAAATTAAAAGATAAATAGTGCGCTAGAGAAATATTTCACAACAAGTTTTCAGAGTGGAAGATGATTTTGCTTTAAATAAATAGTTCTTTCGACTAAACTTTTAATTATGGCAACTGTAATTTAGATGAGATGAATACATTTTAGTTGAAGAACTATTTAATTGGTAATATCAACCCCTAAAAGCTAGCTATCGCAGTGTTATTTTTCCGTGATATTGGTATAGGTGGGGAAATTAAAATGTATTATTATTTTGATTTTTAATTAATAAAACCTAGTTAGTTAATGTTGTATAGTAAAGACCAATTGGAAACGGAAGTGAGGAATTACTAATTGATATAAAATTTGTTTGGTTTGCGTATTATTATAGTATAATAAGTATTACGATTTAGAAACTACAATCACTTAAAGAGGTCTTTTAGTTACTTTAAATAAAATCAATAAAGGTTAATTTGTTTGGACTTTATTTAATTAATTTTATTTTTATATACTTATGTACCTATGTTCATTTCGAGAATAACATTTATTTATATTTTGTTATAATTTAAAATATTACAATTTTTATAAATTTAATATATTTATTAAGTATAATATGATGTATTGTCATGAAAAACATGTGTGTACAGCTGGGCATAAATACTATATTTTTTTCGTAAAATGTAATTTTTAAACAATACACCGGAAAAAAACGTTTGAAGTTATGACTTTTAGCTGACGAACTGGAATTTGCATGCAATTAAAAACGACTGAATACCTAATGTTTTAACTTTTACAAAAACAAATGCATTATGCTCATATTATATTTTTATTTGACATAGCTGTCAGCCTATTCTCAGTGAGAGTATACTTGAACGCGTATACAACTCAAACAGAATGGCGTGCACTGTACAATGATGACAGAGAACGTATAGTATAAGTAAACCCCAGCATACTGTGCAAACAGATCGAACCCGTTATACAGAGAGTGTTCCTCGTATCATGGGTAATTTCTCTTGGGACTGTTTGGACGAAATAGGAAACGCACAAAGATTAACGTGAGATAACTATTGTTGGAACTGTAAAAACGACAAAAGAAGAATTCGGTTGTATTATGATACAATTATTTTAAAACCTACGATACGGCGTTATTAAATTCGAACAACATCATTAATCAACTTTGATATATTGTTTTCCGGCATTTATCAAAATAAAAATAACTCAAGAAAGAACTAACATAATCACATTATTGGAAATCGTTATTAAAAAGTATAATTATTACTTTTCAATATTGAGTAGTAATTCTAAGACTGTACATATATTTACATGAATTATATTAACAATACAAATATTTGATATACATATATATATATATATATATATATATATATGTGTGTGTGTGTGTGTGTGTGTGTGTGTGTGTGCTTTTTAAGCGTAACTTGAGGATTTATTTATCGATTGTTGACCCGATGGAATTTGATAAAAATTAAAAAAAAAAAAAAAATTGTGTAGACAATCATCGCGCCGTTGTGAATGTTTAGTTACGCTAGGTTTATTTTGTATGGACACATCCTTTTAGAGGATCAGACGGTATTAAGGTTCGATAGGCGGGCGACAGTAAGGACTAGAGACGGAGAATGATGGCTTAGGGACGGTACGTGGTAAAGCAAGAAGAGCTTTCGTTAAATAACAAAAAAAAAGTATTCTTTTGATATATTCTTATTGTGTTTGGACCTTTGCGGTGTTGCTACAACAACCTTTAAACCCATAGAAAAACACGCGATAGTAAAAAAAAGAAAAGAAAGAAATTACAATGTAACCATTCGTTTAAAAAACATCAAGGCCGCTTTTGGCGAACCGATGTGAAAGCCACAGACGTCGATGGCTATATTTATTGATGTATATTATTGTTTAAGTTTATTTTATTATTATTGGACGTTTCGAGGCGCGTGGAAGGCGGTTCTTGTGTTACCTGCAAAGCACTCGAGGTAGAACGCGGTCGGTGAATGCAATATACAGCAGGTACGTACGGAAACGGCAATGCATGCATAAATGATAGGCTAAAGTGGCGTTCCTGTGACTCGGGATGGTTATGACGACGGTAGCCGGGAAAACGTTCGTTTAAAATTTATCACGAAGCAAGTCCTATGCAATTTTAATAATATTCCTCTGGTGCGCCCGTCCGTGGAATCAACACGAGCCTGATAATTTATGAAAACCAGTTTCGAGTAGGTAGGCCCTGTCGTGGATTATGCGTTTGACGGCGTTAATATAATAATAAAATAATAACAGACAATCGGAGCTTTGACTGGGATGCGACAAGGACACGTTCTCTGTGCGTTGCCGGAGGGATATATATATATATATATTTTTTTTTATCCATTTTGACCTTTTTTTCAAACATATCATAACAATAGTATTTGTAAGTGAAGCCTCGTCTTTTCTTGTCGTGTCTCGCCCATCAAACGGGCGTTGTTATTTTGTACTTTTTGCATTTTGAACGAGATTAAAATAAAATATACATTATTCATCTCCACGACTCATTCAGTACCGCGTGTCTTATCGGCAGGGCTTTATTTACACCGTACAACCTTTCAAAGGAATGGACATTACTTAGTGACAGACTTCGGATCAACACTCTATACAAACAACATTGCTTTATCAAAGATAAAGTGTGAGTTTTCTTCGACAACGTGCTGAAACGGAGTGTTATACACAAGAGAGATAATTTTTTTTAAAGCTATTATTGCTTTTATAAAAACACATTATAGCCCACTAAGATAATTATACAATTAAAATTTGAATGTACGTTATGATACTAATTTTGGAATTCTTCCCCTGTTCGTACTGATGATAAACTTATAACGTTCGAATTAAAAAACACAAACGTAGTACCTATTTTATTTGTCTAGTACGTAGTCGTTTTTTTTCTGCAAATTACATTTTGTAATATTTCAACGCTAAAAAATATATTGTGACTTAAGCTTTAAAAAACTGATTGATGGCTGGAAAAGTTTGGGATAAAAATATAGTAATACTTTTTGAAATTTCCAAAGAGAGTAACGTTATCGCGTTTAATATAAAAAAAAAGATTTAAAAACGTTTACTCGTACTGCGGTCGCGTACTTAAGGGGATAAGGTTTTCGATGCGGTGACTCGACAGGCCATTGCTGTAACTTTTAATGATGACGGCATAAGTCGATCTGCTGAACGTACTTGAAGTTACAAAAAAACATTCGGACTGCGTTACTTTTGTGCTTTGAATTATTTTCCACTAATGCTAACGGTCACAGTATACCAATAGTGATTTGGCGCATTATTAAAATGTAAAGCGCTGGTTTTTTTTAAATTTATCTTCATTTATAAAAATGCTTACAAATATTTAATGTGCTTGTCATTTAAATATATATATTTTTTTTGACGATGTTAAATAATTATCGCTCTTGAGTTGTTTGGAATAGTTCATTTAAAATGAACAGCCTTTATCAAAGGACTCAAAAGGAGCCAACAAACAGATTTACATTAAGATTACCGCGTTGTGTTTAAACATTGTATTGGAGATTTAATTACTCTTTTCGCTGTTAAGCGCATATAAGGTGTACAAAGGAGTCGTATAAAACAATACTCGAGGTAAAATGTTGTTATGAAATAAGAGCGTTTTTTTTTTATTTGATTAAATAATGTACGATATTTTTTGTGTACTGGTTTTTGTATTTAATATAAAAATTCCATCACGTTTTACCTCAGCAGAAAATCGATTTAAAACTTGATTAGGTTAGACAGACGAAAAAGTCAGTAAAACAATGGAACCTTCTTATTTTAATGTACCGTTTGGACTTATTTATAGAGATGGTGTCACTTGCAGCACTATGGTCATGGTATTTTCAATTTCATTGAAATTACCACTGCAAACTCTTAAGCGGATATTTTAAAATCCGTTGTTGGGAATTTGATTTCCTTGGTTTACATCCCGCTTCTTGTCTATAGATTTAAAGTTTAAACTCTAATAACTCGTTAAGTATTTATTCAAAACTGGTTATCGAGCTGTCATTTTTTGCTTTACATTATTTTACATTTAACAGGTATATCTAGTATGTAGGTTACCATTAGACCATAAAATATGCTGCCCTCTAACACCAACATTTAAAAAAAATATTTGTTAACTGAAAATATATGAACTAAATTGGTTATTCCATATTAAAAAAAGCTTTGTAAGTTAACATATTGGTGTGTAAAGTACTAGTTTCCCACGAATTAACCAAATAATTATTTTCTATTTTTTGAAGTCAACAAATTTAGTAAAAGTAATTATACAAAGCACTTTCTTTGACACGCAGATAGGTTTTAATGAATGAAAAAGATAATGCGTGTACTTCGAACCT